CGAGTCTTAAGACTACGGATGGCGAGGAGTTTCGACGCCTCAACTCTCTTAAAACATTGCAGAATTGTGAGATGCCCTAAGCTCCAGCGCTTGCCAGAAGCTGGGCTGCCCGCATCTCTTTGGCTATGTAAAACTTCGCAAACGTCCTTCACTGCAACAACGTTGCGAAAGAGAGAAAGGGGAGGACTGACCAAAGATAGCACACATCCCTGTCAAAACTATATGCGATCAGGATCTGATTTGACATGCTAATGTTGAACACTTGTTCTGTGGTATGTGCTAGAATATAGAGGAAAATGAGAGTGAGAATGAGAGTGAGTGTGAGATTGAGAGGGAGGATAAGAGGGGAGGATGTGAGAGAGGAGTAACAAAAATGAAAACAAAAACTTGAAAATAAAAATAATTTCAAATGGATTTCAGTTTTTAATTTTCGTTTTCACTTTTGTTATTCATCTCTCCCATCCTCCCTTCTCATGATGCACGTCATGTTATTAAGGAAATTGGCTTTTGATTTGGTTCATTATACTCATTTGAAAGCATTAGCTTTATATGAAGTGGGATAATGAAGTTTAAAAAAAAAGTGGGCATCCTTCCACTTCCCCAAATAATTTATATAAAAAATTAACGAAACATATGCCTCATATGTAGTTTTAAGACCATGACACGCTATTTTTGCAAGTAGCATTTTCTTGTTATAATATATAATTCTTGTTATTATTATTTAATATAAGTGATAGTTTGAACTACAAGAGGGAGAGGTTTCTCTCACATACTTTCAAAATATCATGAGAATTTGAACTTAAAATCACTTATCTGTAAGTTAAGGTCATTTTTCACTCGACTTGTTGACTTGTTTGGTCTGATTATAATATGCACTATTTGGATATGGTTAGAAATGTAATCTAGATCTTTTGGGGTATGCCAGGGATTAGGTTTAGTTATAATATTTGTTCTTTGTTTGGGTGTGTTTTTCAAGTCATTTAATTTTAGAACTCAACTTGGACCCAATTAATGTAAAAAGGCATGGGATTGGTGCTAGTAGAAAATACAATTTGGGATTGGCCCCTACAAATAGCGGCAGGCAGTTCATTTAGATGAGTAATAAAATAATTAATCTTTTTATAAAATAAAATAAAATAAAAAGTTCCAAAAAATATCAAAATAGAAGATAAAATGCATTTTGACTAGTCAGAAATTGCAATTCGAGGAGACCACTAGTGCAAGCTACGTTAGTTATGGTATGGATGTCGTAAGAGTGCACGTCTACACGCTCCTCTTCCTCTAGCGACTGCAGCGACCAGAAACAATACAAAACCGTGTTGTTGACAATTTGAATTACATATGGCCTGGCTGGATTCTGGAAACTCCTCGAGAGTTTGTAGCCCGCACGTGTTTTTATAGGTGTACGTAGTTCACTATAATGTTTCTATAGTTGACCACATTTGCTACCAATCTGACCAACACTACATCCACAAATCATGTAGTGTATTTTTACACAAACTATCAAAGATGTTATGGGTGTTCGAATCTAAAATCATTAGTCTGTAAATCAATATTGTTTTTCACTTGATTGGACTCCGTTGACTCATGTAATATATATCTTAATTGCAATGGCGGAGCTCGTAGCTTGTCTTTAGGGGGGCCGATACTGTAGTTTCAAGGTTTTATAGCCTTATATTTCAACTGATATAGCAGCAAATGTTTAAGAGTTCTTGACTTTTTCATGGAGCTTGGGGGAGCCAAGGCCACTGCGGGCCTGTATGTGGCTCCGCTCCTGCTTAGTTGCATAAGATACATGTATTATGTATGTATGTTTGTATGTATTTTCATATATATTTTAATAATACATATAATATTCACATATTATACAAGTATTTTCATGTATTATTAAAATAAAGACTATAAACTATTAATTGTAAGCAAATATTATTAAAATATATAATGGCTGAATTTTAAAAAAAATTTAAAAAAAATTTAAAAAAAAGATGCCCCCAAGCCGAGGATGTTTTGCTCACCAGCTAATGTGCAACAAAAGATGGACGACAAACGACAGAAACGACCTGTACAATGTTTTTGTTTTTACAAACAACACCACGTACCGTACGTAGTTTTGAAAATAAAAAAGACAACGACGGTGTGAATTTGCTGATCATGATTTGAGACAGGGATGCCCAAAGCACTTTTCTAAGGCATTTACGGTATCCAAAACCTTATCATATTGCAAGACAAAAAATTCTCTTTCTATCTTAAAAGAAAAAGTGGAAAAATAAGCATAGGATTCTTGTTGATGTTGCCTGTGCTAATACTGAATCTGTGTCCAAAAATGATGTCATTTCCAGATATTTATGTCTCTTGAGTTTACTTTAGAGTTTATATGGAAAAGATAATACTTAAATAAAGGGTATATTATTAAATAAAAAAAAATCCCTAAATTTAAGGGTCATTTCAAATTGGTGAAGTTTAGGGAATTAACTCTTAAATAAAAGTTAAGAGAAAAACATAGAATCACACACTAACTAGTCTAGTGGTATTTGTTTCTAGTTAGTTGGAACAAATATCAGGTTCTCTCACATAGATGGTAAAGAAGATAAGTATTTGTGATGATTTCGATACCTAGTTGCAGTCTAACTTTATTATGAGTGTATTTACCTATCGTTCGACTCCAATTAGTTGGATAATGAGGGTTATACAAGTATTTTGTAAATATCCTATAATTTGTCAAAATATAAGAAAAAAAACCATTTAATTTTAGTCATAGATAATGCAACAGAGCATAAAATAAAAGCAGAGAATCTGAACTGCATTTGTTCATCCTTGTTTACGCAGCTTACAGTTGTAGGCAACAAGGCCCAAGTGGACCCAATTGGCCACAAACGTGTATATCAGCACCAAGGAAAGTACACAATTAGATAAGCACATTTGACCGCCGACAATCCCCCTGTTTTTTAATTTTCAATTTGGCATGGTGGAAGGTGCTTTGCTTTGTCTTGCACACGCACCTGGTTTTGCTACTCTCTGTGTCTATCTATTAAGCCAACGCTAACACGCCATGTGGACTTTTTCAAACCAAACCAAACTTGTATATAAAGCAAAAGTCTCCAAAACAGAACACAATAACAAACTTCCAAAGCTCCCCATATTGCATTTGCAATGGTTCTTTTGGTGCAAAAGTTTGATAAATTTTACTCTAAACTGGAGAATTTCCATCACCACAAACACAACCACCAATCACAAGCCTTAACAGCATCTCTGGAGGCTTTCAAATCCCATGTTTCAAATTGCTTGAACAAATTGTCTTTAAGTTCAAAATCTGGCTTAGAAATCCCATCTTTTTCATGGATTCAACAGTGTTTTGGGCTCCTACCCATCATCAACCATGCTTTTGCCAAGCTAGTTGTGGCCATAGACTATCCTGTGAGCAAATGGGAAGCTGCTTCTGTGGATGAGTATCTCAAATACAGTTTGAATTTGTTGGAGCTTTGCAATTCCATTAGTTCCTCTTTGTCTCATCTTGGGAAGGCTAGGCTTTCACTAGCTCATGCTTTGAGCCTTGTGGAGAATTCATCACTTTCTTTGGCTTTAAAGCATCTGAAGCCAATCCAACCAAAGGTTTTGAACAAGGAACTCAGATTCCAAGGAAATGAAGAGATTGGGAAACCAAGGTGTTCCAATATTAGCAAGCAAGCTGTTATTGATCAAGCTTTGGTGGTTATGCAGGGTATGGTATTTTGGGTATGTGGGATTTTAATGTCTGGCTTAGTTGGGGAAGCCAAGCCATACTTGGAGATGAGAAGTTCAGGTGGAAGGTTTGTTGATTCATGGCTTCCTGGATTGGATTTGAGAGCAAGTGAAGTAATTGTGGAGAGAAATGGTGTGTTGAAAGAGGTGAAAGAGCTTGATGATGCAGTGGCTGGCCTTGCTGCTGCTATTGGAACTGGAAAAAGCAGTGATGAAGCAGCTGAGGAATTAAGGAGAAGATTAGAGGTGTTTGAGAAGTTGGTGGAGGGTTTTGGGAAAGAGGTGGATTGTCTCTTCAATAAGGTTTTGGCTGGGAGAAATCAATTGCTCAATGGCCTTGGACAGCAAAAGCAGTAGAGAACAATTGTATAATTTAGTCTGTACAGAATATTGTTGTATGTTTATTGATTTTACTCTTTTTTTATTGGGAGTTTCACTAAAACACCCAAAATGGGGTCTGAAATTATAAAAAAACCCAAGCACTATTTAAACATATAAACACACCCAAAACCCATCATTACACACACTCAAAACCCATTTATAAACACACCCAAAAAGTTGACTTTGGGGTTGATTTTGGGTGTGTTTCTATGTTTAAATAGTGCTTGGGTTTTTTTATAAATACATGTCTAAGATTGGGTTTATTTATAAATTTGTATTTTTTATTTTATGATTGTAATCATGTATTCTTTTTCCACATAAAAACACTTTGAAAAACCAGAATTTGTTTTGTATATAGCAAAAATAAATTAAAAGACTTAACCTTGCTGCATAATTTGAACCTTTCACTTTCAAAACAATGGCTGAGATTTAACGAACTTCCAAAAGTACTCTAGGTACTCTAAAATCCGACCAAGGAGAGCTACAATTTGTAAATATCCAGAACAGATTACATTTTCATCTTCTTTTTTAAAATTTTCTGGCCTCAAAGCAAATTACAAAGGAAACAAGTATAACTAACTAGAGCAGCTTCCTCTCCATAAGCCAAACCTCCCAAGAAAGGAACTTCTATGTCTCCACATTGATGATTTTCGGGTCACCTACGGATTCTACCTTCTCTTTTACAAGTTACTGACCTTTTGACGAAAGCTAATAAGCTACACTCTCAACTGTATGAAATTCATCTCTAGCATCTGTTGATTCTATGGCAAAGAGAACCTCAGAAACAATTACAGGGCTAATTGGCTCCCTGAGTCATTGGAGTGAGCTTCTCTTTCTGGAGCCTTCCTCTTGCCATAAACATCACTTGGCAGCCTGGCAAAAAGACAGTAGATGTACAACGAACAGAATAAGATAACAATGTTAATTTTCACTTGAGAAACTTGTTTTACATCAACTGTAAAACAAGAAATCATAGGGGCAAATAAATTTAAAGTTTTCTTAACAGGGCTGGGGTATATTTTGGCTGGCCCATCCTAACCACAATCCATCCCCAAAATTTATTTGAGGCCTTTTAGTCTCGATTGTACAGTTGGGCATATTTATTTACTTATATTTTTTATTTATATAAAACCTCGATGATACGAAGAAATTTGTTGAAATAGATAAAGGATACATGAAGAAAGAGGAACAAAAAGGACAAAACCCCTCTAAGAGAAGCTAAATAAGATCATAGCAAAATAAAAGGCTACAAAATCAAGTTAACCTATAGCTAGGGAGCCCTGTAAGGTCCTGTGAAAAGGCAGTAGTTGCAAAAGAAGGAACAGAATCCCTCCTGTGGGAGCCAGATTAGTCCACCCTGTAATCAGCCAAACAATATGACTGTTTATCATAGATGAGTTCTACTTTTTGAAAGAACATCAAGCACATCTAAAAGATACTATATAGTTTGACCATATTGAAATTAACATTTGAGTTGTTTACATTAGTTTTCTAGTAGTAATCAATTTTACTCGCAGTATGGATAAGTACTATATATTTATTTCACCAGTAATAAACTTTTAACACTTTACTTTGCTTCCCTCTACCTCTCCCTAAAATTTTCCATGCTCCGCCATTGCTGAGCAATGGGCCAGGCAACTAGGAAATATTATCTAAATCTATTAAGTAGCCTAGGATGCACAAGAAACAATAAGCAACAACAGTTTTGCAGTTTATTTGAAGGTTATTTTGTTAATAAGGAAAGAATAGTACCCTAAATGCAAGGTGATGTCAGAATCTCCATTCTCAAATGCAAAATTGCTGACCAAATCTGGGCTTGTGACACCATGGTTTACAAGGGATTTCTCTTTTTCCACAGGATAATATTCCAGATAAGATGGGACTGCACGGTCAGTTTGTGGAAATAAACACCGAAGCTCCTCAACCTACAATATAAGAATAGGCCATAACAGATACATTACATAATATACAAATCACTCACAGGGAAGTAAATGTCAGAAACTGATCAAATTTTCATTAGCAGGAAAAATGTTGATTACCTGTCTGCGCAACGTTTCATTCTCAAGTATAGCACGCTGTTCCTGAAGGAAACAAATAGCTGAAAATTAAATACCGGGTAAAAGTGTGCAACTTAGTCTTTTCTATACATACCAGTGTAGATGCAAGGTCATTGTGCAACTTATACCATAAAGCCAAGCTTTTAAAACCAGAACATAAGTATATAAGGAAAAACTTTGCATTATAGATTAGTCACTTTCTTCCTTTTCCTGTCACTTTTCATTGTCATATCCCTTTCTCTTTTTCTTTTTTCTTTCCTTTTGCTCTAAATCATTGTGATTATCCATACTTCAAAGTAAAAGTAGCTTAATCGAAACAAAATAGTATCTTTAGTAAACTTCAAGAAAAATTGCAGCTTTCATATGTTTGCAGAAATGAATTTTCTTCTTTAGTTCTTTAGAAAGTGATACTTCAGCATAAACTACGCAGTGCTACTACTACAGCTTTAACTTTAAAAAAGACTAAAAAATTCGGTTGTGCTTCCATGTACCTGTACTCTTGATTGCTCTAGTTGCTCCACTAGTAATTGCTCCTGAAATAGTAGAATATATATTCAGGCCTTTCAGATTGCGGGAATTAGTACATGTTACAACTGCAACATAATCTGAAATCTCTACTGAATAACTGAAAGGGAAAAAAAATAAAAAAGGAAAATATAATAGAACCTTCCTCTCCTTCACTGACAATAATCCTTCATTTAATTGCTGTTCTAGTTGCTGCAATTCTTTCAAGCTCAAACCAGTCAAGTCCTTACCCAATAGCCTTCTACACAATCAGAAAAAATATTATTATTACGTGTAAGGATCTCACAGTATTCCAAAAATGTAAGAATTGAGTAAATACATACACTTGTTTCTTTTGTAGCTTTGCAAATTCATCCTTTAGAACATCCAGCTCCTTGAAGTCTTGCTTCTGAAAAGAAAGATAGAGTTAGAATTATCAATAGAATGCTGAGTCCACAAAACTATGATCATGGAAAGAAAAAAAAAAGACAAAGTATGACAAACGGAAAAGGTTCTCAAGGAAGCAATTAAAACTGCCTAGGTACTGCTCAGACTTGAGTCTCAACTAAAATCATCTCATGCAGACCAAAACTTCATAAAATGAACATTGTGTGTCAATCATCTTTTTCCAATATACTTCATTGTTTCACAACTAATGCAAAAACAGGGCATTACTCATACACTATTTACATCCTTCTGTCGTTTTATGAAATTACAGTAACTATATCGCTTCACTCTTTATATATGTCACTATATTTAAAACTCATATGATCAGCATCACTATTTCTAATACCTATACAAAACTAAATGTCATTGCCAGCAACCGGACAATTCTTAAAACCTTTCATAGCGTTATATCTCCAATACAATTCACGAAGGTCAGAATAACTTCTGGAAATATTATGGGAGGTCCTTGCTCCAAGTGAGGTTAACATAATTTACCTAGGGAAAAGAACAATTTTGAACATATGAAACATATTCACTAACATATATTTCGCTTTGTCAAAGTTCCGTACATGTAAGACTGACATGCAACAGGAGGAAGAACAAATTACCACAGGAAGAACCAACAAATTAACAAACTTGTCCATCTTAAAATTTGTGTTACAACATAAAAGATCAACAAGTGTCAAGTATATAAACTTGTTGAGCAGAATACCTCTGCCTTGGATTCTTCTGCTGCATCCTCTGAAGAATCTAAGCACTTGTTATACCTTGAAAGAGTTTGCTTCATACTACAAAAGTACGAACAGATCAACATCAGCAGTGTTCCACTCAGACGAACAGAGAAAATTTAATTTCAACTTGCTTTATCTCTTCATTTACAGCAATACTTCTAAGTTGTTTTTTTGTCCAAGGAACTGGTGATAAACCACTGAGTTAATGCTTCTTCTCAAGCTAGATGCAATATCCAAAATGCTTTAGCCAAAAAAACTAAAATATTGTAGAAAGACAAAAATGGGTCCATAGAAACCAGAAACAATATCCATATTGTAATCCAATCAGTTAACAAAAGTTAGTTGAGTCTTTAATTCATGTTTGGAGAAAAAGTGTAGGTCATCTCCAGCGGAAGAGCAAAGGCTTACAAGAGTAGAGATAGAAAATTTCCAAAATGTAATTACACATGAGGACTATTAACTTTCATTCAAGTGATCACCTTCTATACAATTAAGGACTGTCAAACAGAGAGAGAAAGAGAGGAGACTTGCTTCTGCAAAGTTCGCAGGCCATTAGAGAATACAGACAAATTGAAACAAAGGATCATGTATTCTTTTTTGGTCAATTCCTACATTTAGGGGAGGAAAAATTTGAACTATGGATTCTAGAGAGGAATGACACCAATTCGCATTTGCCTTCTGCTTAATACGGAGTCATCAATTGGTATAAAGAAGGACAAAAGACAAACTAAATTCAAGCCTTTTGATAAAACCCCATGCCCACTGGCTTTTCAGGTATTTCCACCACGCCAAGACTTCAGAAGTCATTCTAATATCCCATTATGGAACAATCTAGCTGACCTTGCCTTGGACAAGAGAAAAGAGCATCTGAATATTCCAATCCCTACAATCAACCACTGTCCAGCTTAACACGATGGACAAAGGAGCAACAACCAAACAGGGGAGTTCCAAGAAGTGGCATTTCCTTTTAAATGCAGTGGAGTGTTTATGATTCTGCTAAGGGTGTGAGTACTAGAGCGACCAGAGTTATCAGTAATGGAAGCTGAAATTGGCCTTCTGATAGTTCTGACTGACCAACTGGTTCTGAATTAAGCACCAGCAGCACTAGTAGCTTACCAAGGTTCATTTCAGAGTCAATTAAGCATCAGCAGTACTTAAAGAGTCGAAAAAGAAATCGATCCAACATCATAAAAGTTGGAACAAAAACCACTTGAAATAATACTTCCAAACATGAAAATGTTATGAAGAATCTCAACTATTTGCATAATTACTTCAAAAGTTACTCATGAGAAGACCACATCATAGGTGAAATCGCCCCCAACTTGACAATTATAACAATAAACAAATTGGCACACAACGTGGAGAACATTTTATATAAAAAAGAAAAAAAGGAAAATGAAGTACATACCTAAAAAAGAATAAGAGGAAACGGAAACATGAGCATCCACTAGTTTGTAAAATAAAATAAAAACAATAAATAAAAAAATGAAGAAAAAAATGTAATAGACATTGAAATTTTTTGAAGCCAAATAAAAATGGGAAAACCCAAAACCCCAGATAAATTCCTAAAAAGTATGCAGTCATGAGGAAATTAGGTGAACCAACTAAGGACAAAAGCTTTATCAATAAACCATCACAGAAAATCAGAAGAAACACATGCATGAACCTCAAAATTTCAGAAGAAAAAAAAAAATTGGCAATTTGTCTCCAAAAGAAAGAAGTATAAAAATTCAGATACATACCCAGCACTGGAAAACTCAAAAAGCTTTCCAGTATTAGAGAAGATGATAACAGCAACCTCAGCATCACAAAGAATAGCCAATTCTTGAGCCTTTTTGAGCAACCCAGCACGTCTCTTTGAGAATGTGACTTGTCTGCTATTAGCATTCTCAATCCTCTTGATCTCAATCTTCCCCCTACCCATATCTCAGAACGCCAAACCCAAACTACCCAAATGCTCAAAACCCACAAAGGAACCAACCAACCACAGCCGAAAAACTTAAATTCCAATTCAAAGTCTTTCTGGGTTTTCTCTGTGTCGGTCTCTCTCTCTCTCTCTCTCTCTCTCTAAAAGAGTGCTCTTTCCCCCTCTCGCCCTTCTGCGGGGCCTTGGGAGAGGGACGGGGGGGGGAGATAAAGGGGCGTGTGTGAGAGAAAAGAAAGCGTTTTTGCCCCAAATGGCGAAAGCTCGGAAACGGCAAGTTTGCATGGCTCTGTTTACTATTTAGAGTGGTTGCATGACTCTGTTTTGCCACATTTGGAGTGTTTTGGGTGTTAATGGGTCTCTTTGTGGGACCCACTTTTCCTTCCTTTTTTAAATTGTATTTGAGTTTCTTTTAGTTAGTCTGGCTTTTGTGGGTCCCACTTTTACATTTCAAAATTATTATTATTATTATTTTCTATTTTATTTTATTTTATTTAATGATTATCTATGTGCTATAAACATGGTAGTTTAATGTTGCTGCTAGGTATAGTAAATCAAGTGGCCAAAATTAGAGAGAGAGAGAGAGAGAGAGAGAGAGAGAGAGGCAGGCGGTAGGCTTATTTTGTGTTCTTTTCTGTTTCCACATTTAGAGTCCCATTGGCAATTTTTGTAATGGGTCTGTTGTGAAACCCACTTGCCCTTGGGCATCTAATTCTCTCTTCTTTCAATTTGCCACATTGAGAAGTTTCTGGTTACATTTAAGTGATACATTTAGTAAAGCCACTGCCAATTTTAGACAAGGGCATTGCCTAATTTGTAAAAGCACTTTTGCAGTTTTTGGAAGGAATGTCAGGACTATTGACTCTTCTTTGCTGTCATGAGCAAATTGGGAAGGGTCTCATGACTCATTTGGGCTGCAAAAGATTTTTTTTCTTCCCATAATTAAAGCGATTTTATTGCTATATATAGGTTAGGCCTAGAGAAGGGTTGTCAAAAACTATTCCATATTTGTATGCAGGTAGATAGGGTATGAATGTAAATTTACTTGAGGAAGAATGCACCATTTATGTTTTATGGAATACAGGTGAAATGGCTCTTCTAAGCCATGATTCATAGTGACCCACATTTTTAAGAAAGAAAGAAAATGAATTTGGATTGGTTCCTCAACCTCAAAGTAAACTTGCACATATACACAAGGGAAATTATTTGTACCATTTAAAGAATAGTTATCAAGAATGTCTTCCACTTTTATTTTTTTAATCAGGAAGGAATTCATGATGACTATTTTAGAGTACTAACAATAATTTCTTAAAATCTATTTAAGTATCCAACTTTAATAAGTCTTAATTTAATTCCTGGCTTGAGGCGATTACTGAGTACAAAAATCCTCTAATATTTGATTATGGACACTCACGCATAGGAATTACCAAATTTAGCCACTTAGGCTTGAAGGCTATATTGCACAGACACGGGTACGGGGACACGGGAACACGACACGGCAACACGGAAATTCTTAAAAAATTAGGACACGGACACGGCTAGGACACGGCAATTAAAATAATAATTAATTATCAATACTTTTTTTTTTGCTTAATTAATTCTCAATACTTTAATGTCACATAATTCCATAAAACAAAATAAATAACTCATTGTTCATTATCCATAAATAATAATTGATACACCATAAAAAAGAATCGTCCTTGTTGCGTTTCTCTTCAAAAAAACAGAAGAAAAGAATCTTCACCTCACCACCAAGTCCAACTCTTCTACTGTTATGGAGGGACATAAGAAAAGAAAATAGAAAATATAAATAAAGGCATTTGAAAACAAAGGAAAAAAAATTGCAAAAAGACTCGCCTTTGCAAAAGTTGGAGAAGAGGAGAAGAGCTGCTGCTGCGGAAGAAATGAAGTGAAGTGGCTGGCTGATACTTTCGTGAGATTCATTTAGATTTAAAAATTTATTTTTCCACTTTTAACCCATCTTTTTAAAATTATTTCAAATCAGTCCACTAAAGTTTCAAAAATCACGTTTAGACCCCTACTTTTATTTTCAAAATTTCAATCTGGTCCCTGCCGTGTCGGAGCCGTGTCTTGACCATGTCTTGACCGTGTCGGAGCCGTGTCTTGACCGTGACGGAGCCGTTGACTGTGTCGAAGGCGTGTCCGTGCAACATAGCTTGAAGGTATAAGAACAAATATTTGATGACCAGGTCTAAAGCAGATAATAATATCAAATCACAAAAATAAACAAGATAAAATTTTACAATCCCGATCTCTTGGACCACAGGAGTTCAAGAGATTGTGGTCACCCACCGTTGGATATTAATCCAATGGTTCAAAAAAGTTTCATAAAAAGAGTGCAAGAGTGAATGAACCGTTGAATTTACATCCAATGGTGAGTGACCACAAATCTCTTGGACCTTTGTAGTCCAAGAGATCAGGACTGTCAAATTTTAATATTAAGAAAAGAGTTGGCCAACGAGGCCAAATGAAAAACGGTATTGACTTGTAATGTGTGTGTGTGAGAGAGAGAAAGTCCCCTCCCTTTGTAGTTTAGGAGAAACACTTGCATGAAACAGGACATCAAACAGTGTTATCTCTAACCAATAACTCTATAACACACATGATAAAATTTTTACATGACATAACATTATTGGCCAAAGATAGCAAAATAGTCTTGTACCCATTGCAACCAAGTATTTCTCGTAATTTAGACTATATGTTGTATTTAAAATATTAAGAAAAGAGTTGTGATGATGATATTGCCAAATAATATATCAAGTCTGAGACCTTCCCCCAATAAATTCACATTTACTTTTTGTATTTATCTATAGTTTATTAACTAGTATTATTATGACAATATTTGCTGTCAATCATCATATAATTAGCATTAATCATACATTCATTGCTTTAAACAATTTGTAATAAATCTGAAAATTAAAAATAATGTAGTTTATTAGTGGGAGTTTGTAGTGATTAAGAACATTTATAATAGATCTAGATCACTCCAGATCACTCCTATGTCTATATTATTTCTCTTCCAATCAGTTCATTCATATCCCTTATGTTATTATCTTCCACATTATTAAAGTATTTATTGAGTTTACTTAAAACCAAAGTTCCCAAACAACAAAATGCCATTATTGTTAAATTTTCAAACAACCCAAAATTACCCTCATTTAAGAAAAACTTTCAACACAACTATCTCATGTTAAGAAGACAAATTTGTAAAACAATAGCATATTAAAATGCAAACGATTACAAAATATAAAAGAAATACCTGGTTTATAAAGTGGTTGGGTTAAAATTATCTAAGATATAAACTTCAGAAGAAAAGATTCTAGCTATCAAGTTGGGTTACTTTCCATTTCTTCCTTCTCTTCCCGCTTTGCTAGCCACCTACTTCATATAGTCTCTCGCTTTTTCTTTTTTCTTTTTTCAAAGAAGCATTTTCTCATTTAATCATCCAGATATAAATAGCAATCATATTTCTCATTTAAGTTGTTAGTTGAAAAAAGAAAAAAAAAACCTCTGAGAGAGAGAGAGAGAGAGAGAGAGCTTTAGAGGATCACATCGGATTCTCGGTGTTATTTGGCTTTTGGTGGACCTATGTTAATTTACACTTTCTTTGGCAAATCTAATGTCTCATATCTGGGCTGGCTTTGGTTGTGCCTCCTCTTGCGAGGTTGTTCTTTGAGGTGTTGATGCTTAATCACGGTAGATCCATTGCTCATTGGTGTATTGAGGCCTTGGAGTAATTAGGTGACACTCTCTATGTCATACCCCTGAGGAAGATTAGTGGTGGTTGGTTTCCCTTTTGCTTTGCTAAAGGTGTTTTTGGCTTTTTAATTTTTGTTTAATTTGTTCAATGAAGTCCAAAAACTCTATGAGTTGTATGTGTTATTTTTCTTTCCTAATTCCATAAACTTTGTTAAGTTTGTTGGGTTTCATAGTCTCTTTAGGAAAGTCATGCCAGTTAGTTGCCGATTTTGTCCTTGATGTAATTGGACTAGATAGCGGTAAATAGGGGTTTTAGAAAAGTTATTTTTGGAAGTGATTCTCTTTATATTAGTTTTTTTGCTGCCTCATGTCATTGGGACCGTGGCTCATGTCATTGGGACCGTTTTGCCCACGTCACCATACTGCTATTGGGATGGCTCCCTTTACCGTCTTTTCCTTTGTACTCTTTTTGTCCATTTGATCTGATAAACTTCTATCGCTTTTTTTATCAACAACATAAAAAAAGTCTCTGCTTTGTAACCTCCCATCTCAGATAATACGTTTGGGCTTGATGCTGGCTGGCATCATAACCCTCCCCCTACCCAATGCCAACGTTTTCTCCATTCACATAAACATAGATCAAACCAACAAACACAAATACGTGCAGGGGCAACCACCTTCGTTGGAATATACAAGCTTATGTTTCAATCTCCTATGCCCTTCATTCCGAGAATCCTGATTGATATACAAACAAGTCCACGATTGAAAGAATTTTCAATAAAAACTGGTTGTAAACTTGAACAAACTGGAGGATCGACACAACGATGCTAGCAACCAGCATGCCAAAACAACCATCACATACTTGTACAAGGGAGCTGAGCAAGAATGTTCCATGAACTTAATATCACAGTTTTATTTTTGTAATTGTTTTGGTAGCAACTTACTGATACAATAAAAGAAATCAAAGATGGGGATAATGTGTCTATGGTTTCTCTGGAGGATTTTATTCTATTGGGTTTCTTGTTTTAGATTTTTATCCCTAAAATCCAGGCAGATACATCAAACAGAATCCTTTATCTGTCAGACACCCAAGGATGACCGTTATACCTTCATCGGTGCTTCAATGCAAGTAGCTACTGTAAGAGATCAACTGTCAATCCATAAGTTGTTGCACTACTTAGCTCCATATCATCCTTTTTACACACATATATAAAGTGACAATCTGGATCTTCCAAAACAAACTCAGCTGGAAGTAAGCCCTTCTCAGTGATAGGAATAGGTTCCAAATATGACTTTATTGATGAACTACAACCTTCAGGCCTTTGGAATCCTGGTCTGGCTGTGAAAAGATAGTCAAAAGGATAACAAAACAAATAAGGCACCTCAATCATCAATTGTAACAACAATTAATGAATTAAA